CATCTAGGCTGACATGTGGCAAAACGCTTTTCCAACACGCCTGCTGCCTGGGGAGCCTGTTTGGTTGGGTGCTTTATAAATGAAGGCTGTGTATCACATTATATTGTATTTTACCAAAGGTTTTCTCTATCCTACAAAACTCCTGTCTCCTTATGAAATATACTGCCAGTTTAAGGAGAGAATAATATATTTACTATAACTGTACTCAGTCTAGGAATAATTTTGCTGTAGAGATTAAATTTTTATATCATCTTGAAGAAAACCAACTCTTTGTCAGTCCCCAGGGGATCCGACGTCTGGCCGTTAAAAAAAAGTGGCTCAGATCTTAGCAGCTCTAAGTGGGGTCTTTTTTTTCCTTCTATTCCTGCAATATAAGAGCAGTACACGCCTTTTGTCCCAAAGTTCAGATGTTTTAGGAGATTCTGAAAAAAAAATTCTGTTTTCATTTCTAAGGTACTTGTTGGGTGAATGTGGCTTAAGGACGAGTGAAGCTCACAACTGTTCAGAGCTCTGATCTACACTGAACATCTAATCTTGATGCAGCCCATTACGATCTCCTGAGCTTGCAAAATTCACTAGGGAGTGAATTCACTGCAAAGATGAAGCTTTTTTTGTGGGGGATTAGTGCTGTTTATCGCTATAGATAGGCTGGAGCAGGCATCAGGAGAGAATTCTTGGCAGAGGGTCAGCACTTTTGCTTTGGTGCCTGCCCAGAATGATAAAGGATTTGGTCTGTGACTTGAGAACAGTTTTGACTCTTTACTTTTTAGCCCTCTTCTTCAAGGAAACAAGCTGATGGGATCATGCTCTTACTCTTTCTTGCTTGTTGTGTCTCTGTGTGTAACCTTGTGCCCTTCCGGGCCAATTCCAAGCAGGTTTGGCAAAGGGCTGGAGGTTTTCAAAGTGTGAAGATGCTACAAGCACATGCTAGTAAGATGCTGCAGCAGAAGGCTGTGCTGGAAACCAGCCCTGGACGGTTGTATGAGGGGAACGACTGACTTCAGCGGTCGTGTCCCCTTTCTGCTTCTGTGTTACCAGATTCATTTTCAGTGTTATGCCGTTTGAACACAATATGTGAGATTGCTTGTCCTTTGAGACCCAAATGGCGTTTCCGTGCAGGTTGTGAAGGGCAAACAGAAAATGCAAGAAGGTCTATGTGCTACCTCCAGAAACCTGCAGTCTGTAGCTGTCTGCTCCTGACGTGGGCCAGGGCCCCGCTGCAGTGACGGAGTGTAAGCAGGGACTGAAAAAGGTGATTTGGAGATCAAGTGAGTCCTTACTTAGGCTTGGGAAGTGTGTGGGTGTCTCTGTGCACCCAAATGTGGATTAATGCAAAGCCCCGGGAGCTCGCTGCAGAGAAGGAGCTTTGCCTGGGTTCCTGCCTTGCCGAAGGAACCACATGGGCTGGGCTGAGGATGATTTCTGAAGTTATAGCAAAGGCCTCTCCAGCTCACAGAAATGTGCCCTTCTTTGTGCAGCCCTAAAATGGGGTGAATAAAAGCAAATGAATGAATGGGTCGGCTGGATGAGGATCTGCTGTAACCATTTGTTTTCAGTCCTGCCTCTCCTGAGGCATCTTTTCAGCTAGTTGGAAGCAAATTTCTTCCTCTTCTGTTTGGATGTGAATTATCTTTCTTGCCAAACGTTACTTGAATTTTGCTTCAAAGTGCAGTACGCCAAAGTGACATCCCAGCTGCACGGATGAGCCCTTCTGACAGCCTGTACTGGAGGATGAAATGTTTAACCAGCACAGAGACAGACATGGAGATCCTCCCAGTCACATCGCACCTGGGAATATTCGTCTTTGTGACTATCCCTGCGGACGTGTTTGCTATCCTGGGTGGCAGTGAAAGAGAGGATGATGGTCTCACAGTAGTGCCCTGCCTAGCACCTGAATTGATTCCTTTGGTTAAATGACACGGATTTATCTGTACTTACTGAGACAGGGTTTATAGTAATAGAACTGAGAAGTTCATATGCAGAAATAAGGGCATACATGTAGTGAGGAGAGAGAAATGTATGCTGGAGTGTGTGTCTAGTTGTCATGATTATGGTCTTGAAATAAAGCAGTTAATGGCATTATAGACTTGTAAGTCAAAGATACTGAATATAAAGTCATGCCTTGGCATTTCTCTGGTGCCTCTGCCGTCAACAGAGAGGCTTCATTTTGCCAGGACCTTCATTTTCCTTTGTCACAGTGGGGCTTGCTGCCTTTCGACAGCTGAGGGCATGGGGGCACAGAGGGTCTACGTTGACTCTGCCTTGACCGTATTTTGGGAGAGATGGAATGTGCGCCATCCCCTTGCGTATCTTTGTTCCGTAATAAAACCACAGATGGGCAAGTAAAGAAGGTGTCTTTGTACTGTCCAGCAGCTCCCACCCTGCTCTCCCCAGTCTGCATTGCTGGTGGATGAGGGTCGAAGGTTTGGCTGTAGGGTACACCCAACCTGCGATTTCGGTGCAGCCAACGGAATTCCTTGGCAAAGATGTCCTTGCTCCTGGCATCTCCTACTGCTGCTAATACCAGCTCAGGTCCAGCAGACTGAGTAACGTGGAAGAGGCTGGTATAGCTCGTTCGGTGGTTGTGTTGGTATTTTGAACACTGAGAGCTAGATTCCTTGCCTCTAATTTCAGATACTTCACTGAGATGCTGTAGTTGGGAGCCCAGTTACCTTAGTTGAGACAGAAGTAAGCACTTCTAGAGTCTGAATCAGATCTTGTGGTGAATGAGTCTTTCCCTGTTGACTGTCAAGTGCAGAGCTCTGGGAGAAGTACTGCCTTGGGTGTCTGAGTCAAGCAGTTATAATCTATTGATAATAACCTAAGCTTGTGTTTTTTAAACCTGCTTTAAACAGAGCAAGGTGCTGTGATGGTAGTGGTTCTGATAACCCACTGAGTGGGAACCCCAGGTGCCACTACCCAGTGCCAAGGTCTTTTGTCTAGGTCCCTCTGTCAGCCCTAACCCAGCTCAGAAAGTTCCCACTTCTCTTCAGCCCTTCTTACAGCTGTGTATATTCAGAGCACCAATAGCAAAAGCATTAGGGAGTGAGAAATGTGTTAAAATGAATGAAGAAAAGCAAAATCAAGCTTTAAAAGCAAACTGGTAGATCCTGAGGATACCTGTAGTAGAAGGATGAGCGTGCTACAGGCTGTGGAAGGACTGCATAGCTCTGTGTTACCATCTTTCTGGCTAAGAACTAGCATTGACAGACAGTTAAGAATTTCTTATGGATTTTGATGGAAACATTTCATGGGGAAGATGAAGAGGAAGGAATTAAAATTATAAGCTGAATTTCTGTTAGAAAGTGTCTGTTATAGTGGTAAAACCTTCAGCTGATGAACTGAGAAAGCTATTTTGTCCTTTTGATGTAACAAGAATCCTGATCTAGGGTACCCTAAGGAAATTTATGCATCTACAGGTGCACCGTTCCCGAGTAGAAAGATCCGATTTTGATAAAGAAAAAGACATTTCAAGAAGAATTGTCTCTTCGTGAGAATATTTATTTTTTTTTTTTTTTAATAATATTGTTTCAGTTGTGTTGGAGCCTGTGTTGGAAGTAAAACTGGTATCTCTTCTCTTCGTAAGCAGGCTGAACCTTGTCCCTCTGGCCATTGGGGTTAGGACATTTGTGGAATGATCTGCTGGCCTTCTGTAGGCCAGAAAGTTTCACCTTTCCTAGCTTTCTTGACTTAATCCTCTGGCTGTTACTGAGCCTAGAGATGGAAAAAGGCAGCTTGGATATCTAATCCATCCCCATGTCACAGCCAGCTGCTCCTTGCAGTTGATTTGTTATTATTGTCCTCGGATAAAATCTAATCAAGCCCAGTGCGGTCAGAGGGATACCATCAACTCTCAGAAGCTCCCTACCAGGGAAGACTGTTTAGAGGTTCCTTGTCAGAAGGAATAATACTAATAATAATTTCTATTCAAGTGCTTCAAACTGTGATTTACATTCATAGGTGATTTTTTTACTGTCTCACAACACTACTTTTTGAGGAACAAAGTGTTTAAATCTGTGTCTTGTAGATGGGGAGGCAGAGTATTTTGTCCAGGGCAGTGGAAATCCGTGGTAGGTTTGGGAACTGGACCACGCTCATTGTAAAGCCCTGTGCATAACCTCAAGGTTATTGTCCCTTCAAAAGCATCAATGGTGATGACAGTCTGTTCTGCTCACAGAGTCAGGGCTCTGCCATTAAAAAAAAGGAGAGTATACCCTGGTGTCTTTCTTAAAAAACCAAACCAAACCAAAAAAATCCAAACCAAAATCATCCATCTTTTTTTTTTGTTTCTGACAAAGAGAGTAGTGTGTGAGTCTCTGCTAATGAAAAATATTAAAATTCCAAGTGTCCTGTATAATAAATAATAACATGAGCATGAACTTGGCTTCCCACAATCACCACCAAATCACCAATATAGCTCTTTTTGTGCAGCTCATTTTGAACTTTGCCTGTTTCTTTTAGCTATGCAGATATAAATAAATAATTCCACTTGATAAAGGTCTGGGAGTGCTATACTTTAAAAGATAAGAAAGCTTTGAGGGGAAATTGTTTTTAAATCCATAACATTTGTATGCTGTTCACTGTTCATACTGAGCAAAAATTCATTCAGTTGGCAGTTAACCAACCCTATTTTATTCTTATTCTGTGTTCAACCTATCCTTCTCCTGGGGACATCTAACCTTATATGTAATTACCTCTCTGAGAGTGGGAAGGAGGCCTAAATAACCTTCCTAACAACTAAATAAATGCACAGATCCCTGGGACAGGTTATCAGTTGGATGCTGGTAACAGAGCTATCGAGAACAGGGTGCCTGAGCCATGAAGAATTTCAAGACTTGAGTCATTTTTGTTCCAGCATTGGGCCAAAGAACTAGAATTTGAAATGTTTTCAGAAAACCCAAACAAAACACTCTGGATTTTCAGATTATTTTTGTTTCTTTGATAGCTTGGAAATAACAGTGATGAATTTTAACAGTGACGGTGGCTTTTTTTCTCTCGAGGTCTGTCCAAGTCACTTGGTCTCATTGAAGGCTATGGTGGACGTGGTAAAGGTGGGCTTCCAGCCACTCTGTCCCCTGAGGAGGAGGAGAAAGCAAAGGGACCACATGAGAAATATGGCTACAACTCCTACCTCAGTGAGAAAATTTCACTGGATCGTTCCATACCAGATTATCGCCCAACCAAGTAAGTACCAGTTGCTCCATGAAGGATTGCACATGTTTAGATATCATTCGGGAGCCAGGAGTGATAGTTGCTTTCATATTCTCATGTCATACTGTTCACTCTTCCCTCCTTACCGTTCACAGGGCCATGCTCAGTAATGAGCAACCGATGTGCTTTGGCTGAAACCGAGATAGTTCATAAAGATGATTTATCGGGGGGGAAAAAGCAAATTTCTTCCCACTCTTTTCTCTCTCACTTTTTATTTTCCTGAAGCATTGCGTTATTTTGGGTGGTAGTAATGTGATCAGAAGCTCACATCTGCTTTTGTCAGCAAAGGGCTGTTCACTGAGCTATTGGCCTTTGGTGTTTATTACCCTATAAATGTGTGCAAAACTCTCCCTCTCTCCTCCATTGTCAGCTCCTTCATGGCCCTGCAAGACCTCCGGGGCTCTCCGGCTGCCCTTGTCCTCCTCCCGGCGCAGTCCTCCTCCTGGGATGCTGCGATCTCCTCTTGGAGATCTGTGCGGGTGCCTTTGAAGGGAGCCTGATGGCTCAGGTGGCAATATCCCTCCTCTACTACTTTTTCAGGATGACCTTTTAAGATGATGGTGATGGTGATATTTACCTGCTAAGCACCAGAGAAGAATAGACTTCAAATGAGATGCCAAATCATTTTCTTTAGAGTATGAGAAAAGACATGCTGTAAGTTTATCTTTATGAAAGTTAATTTTAGATATGGCTAGCAGAGTGTTCCTTAAAATAGGAAAGTGTCAGTTTGTCCAGGCCTGGAGTGAAATCCCTGATAAAAAAATGAGCTGAGAGAGATTTAGATTCTGAAAGATACATGTCTAATGCCTCTGTCGTTAGGGCAGTGACAAAGCCATTGCTTGGTGTCTGCAAGCCATTGAAAATGATGCAGCAGGGGGATGCAGCTACATGTCTCCAGCGTACTGGCAAATTGTTAAGGATGTGAGAGCACGGAGAGCTTTTGTTCCTTCACTTCTCTGCGTGCTGCATGAATTTCAAGCAGCCACTCAGAGTTTCCAAGGCTGTCAACTACTGACAACAGAAATATTTGGATGAGTTTTCAAAGGAATGGAGGCCTAGCCTCCAATTCTGCCAGTGCAGTTTGTCTGGACAAAATGAATTGCAGGTACAAATCGCACCTTTGGCTATATGATATGCAAATCCCACTACAATAACAAATCCTTGAAGTGAGACCTTCTCTAGTGGTTACCTGAGTCTGACTTCTGATTTTCATTTCTCATCCAGAACTCTGACTTCTAGCAGAGCCAGCATTACTTTGTGAGAATTAATTTGAGAAGTGATGTTTTTTTCAGAAGAAAGGGATTAATTCTGACATTTTTAGGTTTGCATTGTATTCTTCCTCAGTGTCACTATCCGTCATTTCACAGCAGGGTGGTGGAGAGGACAGAGCAGACACAGCAATTTATTAAAATTGCATCATTTTGGAGCTGGACTAATACTTTGGAGAGAATTTGTGGGTACTGACTGCGGCTGCGTAACTTAGTGTCTTTTATCTGTGTAACAACTTCAGGAGTGTGTTTTGGTTATTACTTTTTTTTTTTTTTACGGATCAATTCTCTTCACATTGTAGGAGAGCAGTTGGTCTGGTTATGAAATAGGCTTGAGTTTGCTGGAGAATTTAAAGTTTCAGCTTTTTCTACTTCTAACTTCAAGATCCATTCGCTATTTTGTGCATGCAATTTTATGGCTGATTTTATGAAGGGTTTAATACAAACCATTTAAGTCAAGTATCCTGGTCTCTGATTAAAATAGATTCAAGTCAAAGGAAATTAGCCTAAATGGTTTTGAAATTGCGGTGTTAGTGGGAAAAGCTGTTAAAAACCCTCCAGCTGATAAGCATTACAAAGCATGTATTAGTTTTAAATATAATAGTGAAGCCTGTTTGGTTCAACTAAAGGCTTCAGTGTCAGAATGTGTTCTTTCCTTTTAATTTTCTCTTTCTAAAAAAAAAAAAAGTTGTCAAGTGTCACTCTCCTGACCTATGCTGGATCAGACCTCTTAGTCCTTTTCCTGCCCCATCTTTGCAGCTGGCTGAAGTGAGGGGCAGTAAGGGGAGTTTAGGGGAAATTTGACATGTTCTGTAATCTTTCTGTATATGGACTCCCTATACCTCCTGGTCGGCATCGCTAAGGGTTCAGAGACGCAGGTGTCCCTGCTCAGAGCTATTTGCAGGCAGTTGTTGGCAGTGAGGAGGCATCAGGAGTCCCAGCTGATGGCCTTTCAAGTCCCTGCCCAGAGGCAGCAGAAAGGATAGAGGTGAGTTTCCCTGGAGAAAATGGTCCAAGAGGTGTTGGATACAGGATGGCGCTTAGGAGAAGGTAAGGTCTTTCCCAGGGCCAGAAGTGGGGGCAGAGTATCTTGCTTGTCTTGATTTGGGGAACTGTGGTGTCTCTTTTTGGTAGTTTGGATTATCATCTTAGTTTTGGTTATAAAATGCAGTTTATTTGAGAGATTTTCTTTTCTTAAAAGCTGAGGCTGCTTGCCTAGGCTGGAAGATAAAGTCTGCCCTGCTCTTCACCACTTGTGCGGTATTGGGCTTTACACTGGAGTGATTCCCCAAAAAATGCTGCTGATAGTGTGGATACATGAAATAGCATGTGTGGTACTGATGTCATAAGGGAGATGTGCCTGTAAGACCATAGTCTTGAGCTTATTAATATAGATGTTTCTGATCCTGACCTTCTGCTGGGTAGGAAAGGTTGTGTTGGGTATACATTGCGATGTGCTTTTAGAGTGAATCAGATAATGGTACTACATTTTGGATGACCAAGAAAGTTACTCCTTTGGCTAAAATAAGGGGAGACTAGTATTTTGGTGCAAGGGACCTTATTTCAAGTCTTGCTGCAAAACAGTGGCATAATGAGATGTGGATAGGCAACATGTTTCTGTCTGGCTTGATGAGGTTTTTGGTCTTTAAGATGAGATTCCTGTGTGTTCTGGAAAACAATTACTGTTTCTAGATTGGAAGTACCCAAGGTGCTGCCTGCAGACTACAGGACATCTACACAAATCTCCAAAACAACGAGCTGGAAAGATTTTCTTCAATTTTCTGCAAAAGCTGTGAAGGACAAGGTTGATCTGTGAGTTTTGTTGTTGACCAATTCACAGCATTTTTTTGCTTGCCTATGAAGGACAGGGCAGGGTTTAAGAAGATGCGTTGTTTTCTTTATTGAAAGTGAAGCATATTTACATGGGATCCTAGGGGCTGCTAACATTCCCTGCTTTGATACTAGATTTTATGCGCTTCTATTTTGTTCTGTGATGTATGATTTAATGGGAACCCCTCCTATGTGTAGCAGGAAAATAAAAATTGCTGTGTTAGATCAGTCCGCCTGTCCATCTTATCCAGTATCTAATCTCTGATAGTGGAATTACCAGATGCTTCAGGTTGAAGAAATCATATTAAGGAAAATGATGAAATAATCTGCCCATCTGGTATGTTCTGTCTTCTCTATTATCTCTTTTCAGTCCTATCTAATATAAATGTGGAGTTCTCATTATCTCTTTAAAAGTCTGTTCCTTTCTGGAATCCTGCTAAGCTCCGATTCAGTGGTATTTTATGGCATTATGGGATTAAGGAGTAGATTTAAGAAAAATAATACCGACAATTGTTAGGACTATTGAATCATTGGGTGAAGATGACATATTCCTGCT